CTTTTGCACAGTGGGGGCCCATGCCAAGAAACACCCTGCTCGCCTCCAGGGTGCCCTGGGTGTCTTGGGTTTCGATGGTTTTGCTGTGGAGGGCGCAACGCTCACGCACCAAAAAACCATGGACGTCCGGAGATCTCAGGCTTGGGTTTCTTGTGGAAGGTTTTTTGTGGACTGGCCTCCACTGTGTTTGCCTGGGTCAGGGGCGCTCGCCCACAGGATCTTCATCCCCAGAACGGCGCACCGCCCAGCCCGACGCTCGACGACGACCTCCCCTGCCTTTCCTCCATCCTTCCCTCCTCCTCTTCACCCTGCCTCTCCCCCACCCCCTCCTCCAACCCCTCATTCTGCGCCTCCTCGGTTCACCCCTTCCTCTCTCCTCCTCCTCCTCCTCCTCCGCCTCCTCCTCATCTTCCTCCTCCTCCTCCTCCGCCTCCTCCTCCTCCTCATCCTCCCTCTGGGGAGGGGTCAGGGGGGGAATTTGATCCGCGGGTGTTGGCGAGAGGCCTCCCGTCCTCTCTGCGGGGGTTGGCTGCCTGGACGTTGGACCACAGCACGGCCGCACCCTTGAGGAGGGGGATGAGGACGGGGAGGGAAAAAGGAGGAGGAGGAGGAGGAGGAGGAGGAGGAGGAGGGGGAGGAGGAGGAGGATGTTGGAGGAGGAATGAGTTGTTTCCTGCTCTACGCGGATTACCTGCACCGCGGCGCGCCATCGAAACGGCGGGCCAGCGTCTTAGCATGCTCCTCGGGGGATTCAGCAGCTGGGCCAAACCCGAAACAAAACGGGCTTCCACAATATGTTGTGACTGTCGGCAAAACAAATGCAAACCCGTGGACCAAAACGACGCTAATTGTGATGCGCAAGTCCGCGTCGCTGCCAGCCCACACGGCCGAAAGCAAGGCACTCGCTCCCAAGCCAGTGGGGGCTGGAGGTCGCATACGGTGCAAAGATACTGCAGAATTACGCTACCGAGAAACCCCACATACTTAATTCAAATATTATGTGTTTGCTTTTCATGATCATCTATGCGGGAACCTGCGTTCTAAACCCTCGTCGCGAATGTTTCCCTATATTGTCATCCAACACACTACTGAGTGAACCTCCTCCCTCTTCCCCGCATTCTATCCTTCATCGGGGAAAAGTTCGAGGTGGTCACCGAGGGGACCGCGATGAGAGACCACCCCCTGCGCACCGCCTCCGGTGTCGAGAAAGTGCCACGCCTGCGAGGCCCTGCGGCATTGGCGCGTATGGAGACCGCGGTGAGAGACCACCCCCTGCGCACCCCCTCTGGAGTCGAGAAAGTGCCACGCCTGCTAAGCCCTGCGACATTGGCGCGTATAGAGACCGCGGTGAGAGACCACCCCCGTGCGCACCCCCTCTGGTGTCGAGAAAGTGACACGCCTGCTAGGCCCTGCGACATTGGCGCGTATAGGGACCGCGGTGAGAGACCACCCCCTGCGCACCCCCTGCGGTGTCGAGAAAGTGCCACGCCTGCTAGGCCCTGCGACATTGGCGCGTATAGGGACCGCGGTGAGAGACCACCCCCTGCGCACCCCCTCTGGTGTCGAGAAAGTGCCACGCCTGCTAGGCCCTGCGACATTGGCGCGTATAGGGACCGCGGTGAGAGACCACCCCCTTGCGCACCCCCTGCGGTGTCGAGAAAGTGCCATGCCTGCTAGGCCCTGCGACATTGGCACGTATAGGGACCGCGGTGAGAGACCACCCCCTGCGCACCCCCTCTGGTGTCGAGAAAGTGCCACGCCTGCTAGGCCCTGCGACATTGGCGCGTATAGGACCGCGGTGAGAGACCACCCCCTGCGCACCCCCTCTGGTGTCGAGAAAGTGCCACGCCTGCTAGGCCCTGCGACATTGGCGCGTATAGAGCCCGCGGTGAGAGACCACCCCGTGCGCACCCCCTGCGGTGTCGAGGAAGTGCCACGCCTGCTAGGCCCTGCGACATTGCGCACGCCTAGGACCGCGGTGAGAGACCACCCCCTGCGCACCCCTGGTGTCGAGAAAGTGCCACGCCTGCTGCGACATTGGCGCGTATAGGACCGCGGTGAGAGACCACCCCCTTGCGCACCCCCTCCGGTGTCGAGAAAGTGCCACGCCTGCTAGGCCCTGCGACATTGGCGCGTATAGGGACCGCGGTGAGAGACCACCCCCTGCGCACCCCCTCTGGTGTCGAGAAAGTGCCACGCCTGCTAGGCCCTGCGACATTGGCGCGTATAGGGACCGCGGTGAGAGACCACCCCCTGCGCACCCCCTCGGTGTCGAGAAAGTGCCACGCCTGCTAGGCCCTGCGACATTGGCGCGTATAGAGACCGCGGTGAGAGACCACCCCCTGCGCACCCCCTCTGGTGTCGAGAAAGTGCCACGCCTGCTAGGCCCTGCGACATTGGCGCGTATAGGGACCGCGGTGAGAGACCACCCCCTGCGCACCCCCTGTGTCGAGAAAGTGCCACGCCTGCTAGGCCCTGCGACATTGGCGCGTATAGGTGAGAGACCACCCCCCGCACCCCCTCTGGTGTCGAGAAAGTGCCACGCCTGCTAGGCCTGGATAGGGACCGCGGTGAGAGACCACCCCCTGCGCACCCCCTCTGGTGTCGAGAAAGTGCCACGCCTGCTAGGCCCTGCGACATTGGCGCGTATAGGGACCGCGGTGAGAGACCACCCCCTGCGCACCCCCTCCGGTGTCGAGAAAGTGCCACGCCTGCCGTGCCCTGCGCCATGGCCTGCATAGAGCCTCCTGCCATCCACTGCGAATCCTACACGCACGTCTTGTATATGGCATGGTATGTGTATGTGTATGATGCGTGTGCGGCTATATCGGGACGTGTCTCATGTGGGTGCCCACTATGTCGCGCACACGCCTCAATGGACGCTGCAGTGATCACGCCAGGCGCGCACTAGCGTTGTATGGTGTGTGTGTGTGTTGTGTGCGAGTGTGTGCATGCGCGCGGCCGTATGTAGACGCGTGTCTCATGTACTTGCCGTGCACGCGTTGAGCGCGGGTGAGGAGAGGAAGGAGGAGAGAGGAGATGAGGTGTGAGGTGAGGTGAGACGCGGGTGCGCCGCGGCAGGGAAGAAAACCAGAACCCCACGAAACATGTGGGGAACAACAGCGTGTCTTCCACCTTGGCCTCTGAGCGGGGGTGAAGAAAAAACACGACTCTAAATCATGCGTGCTCGCGAAGCGGGCCATGCGTTACCGCAAGCAGCGCTTGCACAGCCATTGAAACATGCAAAGAGACACACAGGAGCACAGTTCGACGGAGGCGCGCCCGCTCCTCCTTCGGACACGGCCCTGGCTCGAGCACACGAGCAACCGCTATAAGCATACTTGCACGTGCAAGCTGGTAATCGAGCTCCGCGAAAAAGGGCCCCGTGCACATCATGCAATATAAAAGCGAGCTTGGCAGCCTGGTCCGACTCATGATTTAGCCACGTTCGCCACCCACTCGGGGTCTCTGGGCTCCCTGGGGCCTCGGCATGAGACCTCTGCCTGACCACTTCGAGAAAGGCCTAGCCCTGCCTCGCAAAGCCTGTCTAGAATCCACCAAGCTTTCCCCGCAGCTTAGCTCGCTCGGTAATTACAGCGATCACTACCGACAGCGCAGCCGAGCAATCTCCGACATAGGCGCTGGTTCTGTCACCCCGCTGGCAGAACCTCCGATGGCAGCGGGCTCGGCGCACTCGGCTGTCTGCGCACAGTGCCAGGCAAACGCTCTCAGCAGACGGCCGAGCTTTCCCGCGGCAGGACCCTTGCGCACACTCCTGGGTCGCCCCGACCTGCCAGAAGAACACGCAGAGCAGAACATGCTGTGCTTAGGCGCGTCATCAACCCCGCGTTCCTTGCATGTGTCCTTGATTGAGTACAGTCCGACTTAGGCCAAAAGAACATCTCTCAAGAACACGAGACCCCCCACCGGCCAGAACACACAAAGAACATGCAAGGGCACTACCCTCCCCAGGACGCGCGAGAGCATGCAACCGGCACGACGAACCTTGGGACACCCTCCCCGAACGACCTCGACCTTATACCTCGGTCCGACCGCGGCCGCCCCACTTCGACGCCTTCGTTCTCGCGGGGTTGGTCCCGCCTCTTCCCCGCGAGACGAGGGCGCGACGGCCGAGAGCGGGCCGGCGCATCTGCTGCCCACGGCACTCCGCGCAGCTCCCCGCCGGGCACTCCCGCAACCGCCGCTTCCGCACACCCTTCGCACCTTGGCGACGCCGGCATCCGCTCGCGCCCCCAGCGCTCGCCGGGAGGCCCCTCGCGACGCGCCCGGCCGTCGCCCGCGGCCCCGCCCGCAAGGCAGGCCTCGCCAGAGCCGCGGGGGGGCCGAAGCGGTGCCGCGCGCGCGGGGTCGCACGGCCCAGCTCCTTCGGTCCCGTCTGCCAGACAGGCGCCTCGCCCAGGCCTGGGGGCCTGCAGACGTCGCGCGCAGGATCGCCCCGCCCGCCCGCGGCGGCGTCATGGGCACTGCGCCCCCGGGGGGGTGCGCCGCAGGCCGCCCGGCAGGAAGGCCGCACGGGGCCCTCCCAGGCGGCCGGGCCTGTGCCGCCGCCCCCGCCCGGCAGGCGCGCTCGCTCGCCCTGGCGCGCGCCGGAGGCTCCCTGGCGTTGCCCCGCGAGGCCCACGGCGGCCGAGTCGCCCCGGGGGCGTGGGGCGTCGGCGGCAGCGCCCGAAACGCGTCTAGCTGCTGGTGCGAGGGCACCGCGCGAAGCCCCAGGGCTCTCTCCTCAGCCCCCCCCCCCCAATCTGGTCCATGGAAAGGAAAATCGCCGCGCGCCATGCGCCATCGACCCCCACGACCGGCGGCAGCCGGGGAGCCTCAACGTGCAAGACGTGCCCGCGCCCGCCAGTTGAACCGACGCGACTTGCGGAAGAGAAGGCCGCCCCTCTTGTCGTCCTCCTGATCCCCCCCCTGTCCCCATCCTCTTTGACGTGCCCCTCCTGAGCCGCGTGGGACTATCCTCGCGGCTCGCCGCCATCGTC